AGGCAAAGGCTGAGGACTAATTGAGACTACATGGAGCAGAGCACCTTGGCCTATGCAACCATGCAGCAAGCCATGCCGCAGAGCAGCACGGACACTGGCAGGGCAGGTTGCAGCTTTCGCTGGTGCCTGTGGAGAGCAGCTCTTTCCATTGCTTCCCAGACCTATTTGCACTGGTGCTGGCTCCGAGCATTTCTCTAAAAAGCTACTTCAGCAAAAGATGGATTGGCTCCTGGAAGGAGCCCGCCTCACTGGTCATGCCTGGTCTGTGGAACCATTCCATAGTAACAAATAGTGATACAGGTGATGGGATTGCATCAAGGAATGGAAGGTACTAAAGAAGCCTCATTAAAACATAACTGTCTGTCTCAGACGTGTCACTGGAAACCAGCACAGTAGGCACCAGGAAAAGAAAAGGCCACCAAAAGGCTGTGCTGAGATAAGTCCTGTAACCTGCCAAGACATTTACCCTCCCAGAGCAGCATTTCTCCCATAGTTGCCCATCCAGCTGCCCCAGGTGAGTTCACCAGGAAGCACTGCTCTCCGCCCAGGCTGCCTTCTTGCTTCTGCGCTCTAAAAAAAGCTGTGACTCCATTTGTTACTCACCTTCCTTGAGCCTGCATGGTTTGGGAGATGCAAAGTTTGTTGCGAGATGTAATATAGACACATGGAGAGAGCTGGAAGACTTGGACAAGTTCTCTTCAAAACAGGCATTCTGATTTTTGTCACCTTCATCTCTATCCCCAGCTTGCAGATTTCTTTGCTCAGTTTCTTGGATGCCTCATCCCTGGAGTTGTTCAGGGCCAGGTTGGATGGGGCTTTGAGCAACCTGATCTAGTAGAAGGTGTCCCTGCTTATGGCAGGGGGATTGGAACTAGATGATCTTTAAGGTCCATCCATCATCTTCCAACCCAAACCACTCTATGATGATTCTGTGATTCTTTGCACGGAAAAGCTGTGTTGGCAGTGGTGTTCGGCTGTAGCTGCCTCTGTCCTGAGACAAACTCAAGGCAAACGTCAGAACAGTGGGAGATCCAACAAATGTGATGGTGGGTGAGCCAGAGAGCAGGCTGGGATTTCTCTTCACCTCCCTGAAGGCTATGAGGCTGAGGATTCGCCAAGCTAGTGTAAAATCTTGGTGTGATGCAGCAAGCTGAGCCAGCCTCCTTCACCCTATGGGTCTCAGCACTGTGGGAAGTCTGGGACCCGAGCTCCCAGTCCCAGGCCTGCCAGTCTGTGTGCTCCTGGTGCGGGCTGGAGACCTGCAGCAGAGGCACGGGTGGAGCGCCGGCCGGCTGTGCTCTTGCTGCGCTGGGGCAGGGCGCTGTGCGACACGCTGGTAGGGCTGTAGCTCCGCAGGGAGAAAGACTCTTGCAGAGGATGAAGCCTTTGCGGGGGAGAAAATTCAGAAAGTTATGGGGTTCTCTCAGCTTTTTGCACGTTTTTAACCATTTTTACTCCTTCCACAGAGGTTATTGAACCTTCAGTTTAATTAAGAAGGAAATGGGCCACCTTTAAATAACTTTCTGAAGGGTCTGAAAGCAAACGCCACTTGCATGCTGAGCTGGCTGTGCCTAACAGGAGGCTTCCAGACCTTGTTGTACATGCCATAGCCGAGTCACCCTGCGCACTGTGCAAGGACTGGGGCGGGAGAGTCAGCACTGAACATCATGTCAAACAGCCACGGCTTCCCAAACCGAAGAAGAATCAGACCAGGAAGGAGGGGTAAGGAGCAGCGACGGTAGGATAGCTAGTTGTCACAGGTTATCTTCAGTATCCGTGTCCGGTGGTTAGTCCTAGAATTACAAGCCTTGTTATATGGCACACGTCCTCTTTCCACTCCTCTTTTCTCAAAGCAGCCATCATCTTTCCTCCCCCCCAACCTCATGCACTAGTGATGAGCACCAGAGGCAGTTGCAACCAAAGTGACTCTCAGCCCAGTTCTGCATCACCCTCTCCCATCCAAACCCAAGGCAGTCCGGAAGGTTGTTGGCCATCACAGGTCTTAATTTTTGGTAACCCTGCTTGGGTTTCTTTTCTCATGTACCACAGCTTCCTCCGCATGCGCTCTAGCAGGGCAGTACAGGAGGTTCCAACAGTGTCCCAAGAAGCTGCTTTGCCCCCTGGCAGCAACTTGCAGACAGGCACCTTACTGGGAACATACTGGGTCAGTGCTGGTGAGATCTGGCACTGCCGATCTTGTGTAAGTGGCAGCTGATGGGGATCCACCGGGGGAAGCTGGCAGAAAGTGGCTACTGTCCGTTTTCTGTTCTTTTTTGAGAGAGAGGGGGATTTTTCTGACATTATGATTATTGTCCACCTTCCAGTGGCCAAGTTCTGGGCTGCATTAATAATTGGGATTCATTGGCTGTCCAGGCAGGTGTGAAGCTTTACACCAACATTAATAACAAACGTCGTGGCTGTATCCAGAGCCTGGATACAGGCTCGGTTTCTCCCATGCTGGCAAAGTGCTTTCAGCAGGCTCCAGACATTTCTGGCAGACATGGAGACAGCACTCCTCCGATTCCAGATCAAATCTGCACTTCCATTTCGTGTCCTCAGCTTGGAAAAAAACTCAGCCCAAGCAAATGCTTCCCAGGTCTCCTTTGCCCTTGCGGTGCCTGGTGCCCCAGGGGAGGGGGTGGTGGGAGGCATTTCAGGATCACCAAAAGTGAGATCCTTTTTGGGTGTATTTAATGGAAATACCTTTCAGGAGGAGAGACCTCCTGACCTTTGCATTAATTTCAAGAGCAGGAGATTAATTTCCGGCTGTCCTTGCATATAGTGAAACATAGCTGAAACAGCCAAATGCGAAGTAGAGTTAAATGTAGGGTTTGACCTGAATAACCTTTTAATTAGGAAGATAAATTTGTTGTAGCTTGACCTTAGTCCATGTTAGGAACCTGCTAATCATTTGACATGCAGAGTGTATTAATGCTGCACTTAACTTGGCCATTGGTTTTATTACCTGGTTTGGGGAGTTTTTTCACTCCCGAAGCATCAATCTGCATCTTGTATGGGTTTTCTTTTCTTTCTTTTTTTCCCATTCAGAACACGTAGCACACTGTTGTACTTCTGTTCCCGTCTGCGTAGAGTATTGCCTTAAACAGATCAGTTGTGTTGTGGTTTGTTTTGGGTTTTCTTTTTTCTACCATCAGTTCTATGCATTAATTTATTTAAAAATGTGGGGTGTTTTTTTTTTCAAAAACATGAAACATTTATAATATTTTTTTTAACATTTCCATTGCAGTATTTATCATTGTTACTGGTTGTGTGTAGTGTAACAATTAATGATATTAAAAGCATACATATGAAAACCAGCCTGCCCGCCTTTGTCATTGGAGCGAAGCAGGGTGAGAGGGTAGGAACTGCACCATCTCCTCTGAGCACCCAGCAACCATGGATACTGAAGTCAGGGAATGCCAGCCTTCACTCTGTGGCTACTAGCAGCCTGCTTGGGGCCAGTAGAAGCAGCTGGTGTGGAGCTGTGCCATATGGTACATGAAAACCTGCTGGGGCCAGTGAGCCCCTAGCCATGCTTTGGGAAACATCTCCCCAGGGCAGCAGGAAGGCACGTAGGCTGGACCCAGCCCCTGCATCCGGGCTACAACGGAAGCAGAAGTGTTGCATCTGTACAACACTGATGGGTCAAATAACCTTTTCTCTGGCATTGGAGCCATTTCTGCCCCTCAAAGCTGTTGGCACGAGAGCCAGTGCTGATTTTAAAGTCCAACATCAGCCACTGGAAACCTCAGGGACAGGGGACAGCCCTGCCTTGCCGTGCTGGCAGCCGGTCAGTGCAGGATTAGTCCCCCCTCCAACTGAGAGGCTTGGTCTCCACTTCTGCAGAGCAGTGCTCCCCACATCTGTGCCCTGGGGTGCTCCGGCACCATGGATCTGGGGTAGGCACCCCCGTGACCACTCTTCCCTCCCAGCCTCCCACTGGCTCCCAGAAGGGGATGGGGCTGATGGAGAGCCCAAACCTGGCTCAACAGAGACCAGCGGGGTGTGAAAATCAAGAGCAGCTGGGTTTCTTCATTTCATCTCTTGCGCCATATTAATTATGTTTGCCTGGAGGCATTCGGCTATTCGGCTGCCCCCGGCTGCCCAGCCGCAACGTCGCCCGCAGCAAACAGAGCAGGGCTCTGCAGCCCTCCCAGGGGCTGGGCTGGCATCCACCCTGCCAAGGTGGACGTGGGTCTTCACCCGTCATCTCCAAGAATGTAGCAGCAGAGGGGCTGGAGCCAGGAGCAGAGCAGGGTTTCTGCAGGGACAAGGATTTCTGCTTGACTCCCTAGCTCGAGGAAAAGCAAACCTGGTTCATGCGAATCCCTCCCTGGCGTAACCCAGCTGCCTCTCTGCACTGAGACGGATGAGAATCACTCAGTCTGACTGCAGAGCCCATCACTCAGGACAGAAGAGCAAACAAGCCACATGGGATCACCTAAATCCATCTTTTTAATTCAAAAAGTGAGACAGACCAGGTGATAATTCCCCTGGCTACTCCAGCAGGCTGGGACAGCGGTGCCTGGTGCTATGGCCTGGACATTGGCTGTATGGGTGTTGGTGCTGTGTGGGTTGCTGAAGGGTTTCCAAAGAAATATGGGAGAGATTCACCTCCCAAAATAAAATTATCTCGACTAGGACCAGCTGAAACTGTTTCCTACTGTTGTTAAGGTAATTGCCTGCAGGAGGGGCAGAAGCCTCATGCCAGGGCAAAGCCAGGAGGGAGCAGCCCATGGAGGGATGCAGGCAGCAATTGCTGTGCGCTAGGCTAGAACCAGAGTGTAGCTATGGGATGGACAGAAAGACACCAAGTTCCCTTGCTCCCACATTATGACATCACCAGGGAAATAAGCACCACCCTAAGCTGGCAGAGCAGTGACACCAGCTCCGTTCCTTTTCCTGTGTGGGCTGCAAGCCCCCAGCCCCACACAGTGCTGCTCATCCAGCGCAGCATCCCTGGCAACCTCTGGCACTCCATCCCAACAGACTGCTGCACCATGTTCCTCTTCTCCAAAAAACACAAGACCCCCGTCAGCACTTACACTGACTCTTACCGCCCGCCATGCTCTGTCAAAAAGATGCCGGAACAGGCTCCACCAAAGCTCTGGAAAGAAAACAAGTTTGTGACACAGGTAAATGCTGCAGGAGGAGGAAACCTCAGGGTTTCTACTGCTACCCAACTACGGATGCTCGGTGCTGGGCAGGGGGGGTGGCACAGGGACTCATGGGGTGCCTTGCTGCATGTGTGCTCCCTAGTTAGGAGAGCATTTGATACCCCACAGCCTGTGCTCGCTGGATTCTTGTCCCCTGGAGCTGCCTCCGACAGTGGCTTCAGGTTCTCAGGGCTGGTGGTCACCAGCACAAGCTCTTGCATGTCAGCCCTCAGTAGGTTTCAGAGTGGGCAGAGGGCAGGATCTGCTGAGAAAGGAGAAACAGGCAGTAGCAGGGCTCAAGCCAAGGCTTCTATGTGACACAGTGGTGATGGTGAGACAGATCGAGTGGTTCCAAGAGCAGCTCCAGCACACAGCCCCCAGGCTGAGCTCAGTTCTGACTGAGGGGCCTTCCATGCCAGGGGGACCATGCGAAGGGCAGGGGAAGATCTGTGCACCAAGAAACCCCTTCCAGCCCTGGTCCTGGAGGAGGACGGATCCCTGAGCCATGGCCTCGCTGCAGGCAGTGTCCATGGAACACGCAGCTTTCCCCACACGGGCTAACAAGCATGCAGGCTCTAATACAAAGCATGCTACGAACTGGCTCGTCTCTTGCAGCCTCGTTAGCACGTGCATTATAACGAGGGAGCCAGCAGAGGGCATGGAGAGGGATGTCTCCACTATGCAGAGACAGAAGTGGCTCAGGCAACCAGGGCCCCCCCCCCCAGCCTTCCCCCCTGCAAGACCCCAGCCCTCTTGGGCTTCGCCAGCTCTAGGACACTGGTTTGGTCCTATAACTCCCTTCCCAACCTCTGCTGGCCCTATACCTGACACTCCCAGTGCACCCATGCCATCTCCCACTCTGCGAAGTGCCTGGTTGCCTACAGACACCCTGGGTGCAGGGGGAGAGGAACCAGGGACACCCACCCATCTTCGGTCCCCCAGTTTTGGGTGAGTGGGAAGCTTGAGGGAGGATCATGCTGCAGCTACAACCCCCATACCCACCCACTGCGAAGGGAGGCTTGGTGCTCAGATCTCCAGCTGCGTCTCAAGCTTTAGACCCTGCCTGGTAATCGGCTTCATCGTGTGCCCCAACGGCTGCAAAAGCAGACACTGCCACGTGGCCCGGGTGTCTCACCCCTCTCCCCGCTGTCTGTAGGGATTAACGATGCCCCCAGAGCAGAATCCAGCGAGCCGAGGTCAGCCTGAGCGGCTGACTAAGACAGTAACACAGGAGTACTACAGGAACACCGTCGACACCATTGCCTACCAGCCTGAGAAGTACTGGCGGACCAGGTTCAAAGGTACCACCGAGGTCCCAGCAGTCCCCCTGTGTCACACAGGGCACATCCCCATGGGGTCGGGGGGCTGAGGGTGCCAGTAGTGGCTCTATTCATCCCCTTTTTTGCATCCCGCATCCCCCCACAGTGGTGAAGGGACCCTCCCTTGCCATCTGCACTTGTGGCTTTGCCACAGCTGCCCATCCCCATCCCTTCACTGAGATTGTCCCTGCCCCAGGTATGTCTAGAAGTCCTCAGGATTCTCTCCTCCGTGGCCCCTAAATAGTCCCTGGTAGGAGCTGCTGCCTGGGTGACACCCAGGGACCAAGGCTGCATGAGCATAGATGAGTGACCAGTGAGCTGGAAGTGGTGGGTGTCAGCTCCCTGTCCCTGTGGCATTGCATTTTGGGGAGAGGGGAAACAATCAGGACTCTCTGGTCATCCCCCCATGTTCCAAGCACAACAGGACACCCCACCTGTCTCTTTTGCATTGCAGAGACGTACAACCCAGTTTCTGTCAACGAGGACAAATGCATCACCTGGAGAACAGGTTCCTACAGCAGTGCAGCCTGGAATAAGCATTCCTCTTACCTCTCTCTCTTACCCAAGGTAGAGTCCAGACCCCCTGCTCACCCCCTCCCAAAACTAAAGTTGCCTCAGGTGCCACCAGCACCTCAGGCTCTGCAGCGAAAGGGTGGCAATCCTGTAAGGGCCACCGTTGCTCCTTGCAGGAGACCTTCTTGCACAGCATACCTGTGCCGTACCCCCTGAAACCCATCTGCCTCAATCGATATGGTAACTACCCTTGCCCTGTTCCTGTGCTCTGGCTGTAGCCGTGCTTGTGCCATGCTGGCATTCATCCAGGTGACAGGTTGGCTGCTCCTCCTCACCCTTACTCTGCTTGCAGAGAGGGAGATGGTCACCAACACGCTGCACAGGATGCCCGTGTACACTGTGACAGGGAGGGGACCCTGCCAGGGCTACTACAGCCCCTCCTCTGGGTGCTACTACTGCTTGCCAGGGACAGACTACTACATTGATGGGGCCCATGCCATCAGAAGACACCTCCACACACTAGAAGAGAGTGCTGTAAGGTTGGGATGGGACGGGACGGGATGGGACGAGACGGGACGGGACGGGACGGGATGGGATGGGATGGGATGGGATGGGATGGGATGGGATGGGATGGGATGGGATGGGATGGGATGGGATGGGATGGGATGGGATGGGATGGGATGGGATGGAACGGGATGGGACGGGGTGGAATGGGACGGGATGGGATGGGATGAGATGGGACAGGACAGGATAGGATGGGATGGGATGGGATGGGATACAATGGGATGGGACGGGATGGGATGGAATGCGATGGGACGGGATGCGATGGGATGGGACAGGACAGAACAGGATGGGATGGGATGGGATGGGACGGGATAAGATGAGACGGGATGGGATGGGATGGGATGGGATGGGATGGGACGGGATGGGATGGGATGGGACGGGATGGGACGGGATGGGATACAACAGGATGGGACGGGATGGGACGAGACGGGATGGGACGGGATGGGACGAGACGGGATGGGATGCAATGGGACGGGATGCGATGGAATGGGATGGGATGGGATGGGATGGGATGGGATGGGATGGGATGGGATGGGATGGGATGCCTTGGGTTGGGTGAGGATGGGTTGCCTAGAGTTGAGATGCACATGACCTCTCTTGTCCTGATGGCCATTGCTCACCCTACCTTCTCTGTCTCTTGCAGGAGTATCCCGTGCTGCAGTTACAGCCCCAGAGCGATGTTCTGTACATCTACACATCGCCCCCAGCCATCCTTCCCGTACAGAAGCCCTAGGTGCAGGAACACTCCAAGCTGGTTGCCCTGGGGGAAAAACCTATTATTTTTTCGTAACACCAGCCAGCCACTAGCTCTCTTTTCATTAGAGTTTCATGCAAAATCGCTCAGAAGGTTATTCTAGGGATAATGGTGCAAACTGCAGACCCTGAGGGGTCCCCATCACGGTGCCCATGCAGGCAGCAATGCAGCCACTGCACCTTCATCTTTCAGGCTAAGAAGATGTGACCAGGGAGGGTAGGACAGGAGGGCTGTGGAGCATGTTGCTGCTACCAGTGGAGAAGCAGTTGCCAAATTTACACCCAGTACAGGTGTTTCCATGCTTGGTCTCATCCAGCAGTCCTTGGGACTGTAGGGCAGCTGAAATCTTGCTTGCACCCCTGAGCATGGCTGCCTGTAGCTTAGCATCTCCCTGATTTTGGGGGCCACATCAGTATTTCTTGTGCTGCTCATGTGTTTTCTGTTGTTATCATTTGCTCTTCTTATCCAAGAACCTGTTCCCCTGTCACGCTGATCGTTACATGGTAATCAGCCCTGTCCTTCACCCACTGCAGGTCCAGCAGCACCTTTTAATCCCCATGTTTACCTTTAGGATGTTTCCATTGCTGAGGCAGCTTTTTTCAGCCCTGGGGAAGCAGCAAGAGGAGAGGGGAGGCTGTTCAACCAGCTTAGTCATCACTCTGCTCCTGCATCAACCCCCCTGTGGGCCAAAATTAGGAGTCAGGCTTTGCAGAAAATGTGTGATTGGCTTTAAATTCCTGAGCCCAGAAACTAGAACCAAACGAGAACAAGGACAAACAGGGTGCACTGGGTTCCCCATAGATGTCCCTATGCCTGAGCCTCAGCAAGGTGTTTCTGCAGGTCTTCTCCACTAAGAAACAGGCAGATTTTCCTGGACTGACATGGCATTGGGAATGAAGGTTTTAGGAAAACGACAGTGCAAGACAGAGTGGGTGTTTGCAGGGTGAGAGATCTGGTGGAACCAGCTGGCTGAGATGGCAGTGCTGAGGATCTTCAGCTCTTCTGCCTGGGCTTTGCTTTGGCCTCAGTGCCCAAAGACACACCAAAATGGTTAAGGGCAGCTGCATGTCCACTGCTCGACCTGAGTAATGCTGGCAGCCAGGAGCAAGTTTTCTTCCTCACTGGAGTTTTCTCTTCCCATGGCCGATAACTTTATCTTGTCTCCTAGGTGGAAGACAAGCCACTTCCAGATGACAGGAGGAGTCCAGAGAGGCAGCTACACCATCCACCCTGAGTTTACCTCAGAGGCTTACCCTACCCAGTGGCACTGATGAAGAACGAGGATGGACTTTCATTAAAGCTGGCTTGGGCAACCATTCCCCTCAGGCTCTTTCCTACAGGCTGGGGAAGTCCCCAGGGAGGGAGAATAAACTTCAAGGGCTGCTGGCTTGGTGGGCACTTTAACAGCCCTCAGAGGCTGGTACCCTGCCACCACCCACCAGCTGGAGACCAAGGAAGCATGCAAGGGAAAGCTCTCAGACCCTAGTAGCACAGCCAGAAATAGAAGCAGTTGTTGATACCCGCTTCGCACCGGGCTGCCCAGGACGCGCTTGCTTTTGCCAAGATACCCAGGAAGGGCTGCCATCCATCTGGGATGCCAAGCACGGACATGGGCTAAATAAGGAGGACGATTTGAAAGCAGTGGATAATTAATGAAGGCATGAAATGCCCTTCTCTGACTAAGATCTGGGAGCGCAGCATCAGCAGGGAACACCGCTCCGGGCCTTCCATGCACGCTGCAGATCATAAACCCACG